CACTCCAATACGATGTTGGAGGAGGAAAAACTCAAGTTACATGATCGGGTAACCGAAGAAACACGACCATTTATGATTGTATTTTGACTTCGAGAACCATAAAACATGGTAAAAATCTTCATAAGTCAGTTATTTCATTCCCAAATCATTTCCACACTTTTTGGAGAGGTTTTGGGGAGATTTTGAAGGGTTTTTTCATGATGAATTGAATTCAATCTAAGGAGGAATCAACCAAGTGCAAGAAGGTGGCTATCTAAGGTTAAAAGGTACCTCCTCTCTCCTCTTTTAAAGCTCTTAGTAGTCTTCCATGGTAGAATATGAATTAAGTACCATGAACTTCATGTAGAGTTCATAATTTTGTTGTGTCATCTTGTAATAGTTTGTTTATAATGTCTTTACTTTGTGTGAGTTATGTTGCGATCTCGCACATTTTGTTTCCTTAAGTTCGCAGCTTAGCTGTTGACTTGAGATGCTATTCTTTTATTCATGTGATTCCTGTATATAGGAATATTAGATAGAAGAACGGGTAAGAATTTTGCTGATAGAATAGTTCCTTACATTGTATCGAATTGCTCTGACTTGCTAGTTAATGAGATTGAAATCTTATTTACATCGTGTGTTCTTGTGAATCTTATCTTTGTCTGACTCGTGAATCTAAATGTTCCTTCAATTGGTATCAAAGCGGGAGATCACTTGAACTTTTTCAGATCTCTTCATCATGTTCATCGTGTTCATCGTGTTCATTGTGTTTTTCCAGATCTGTTCATTGAATTTCAGATTTGTTCTGCATTTTGCAAATCGCTTTGCAAATTGATCTTTAATTCCTTGTTTAATTCGTTTAATCTAATCTTTTTCAAGTTCATTGATCTGATTCACATGAAATTTCACTCTAAATGTCAAAAGATGATTCGCACTCTGTCACATTCAACCTTCCAAGTAGTATCGGTTCCACAACAAGAATTCTAATTTTATTTCCTGAAGACTATGAAGTTTGGGCTCTTCACTTTGAAGATTATGTTCTAGGGATTGGAACTTATGGATCTAGCATTTGGAAAGTAATTAAAATCGGAACGCACAAGTATACTAAGGCAGAGCAGGAAGTTTTAACTCAAGATGATTATGAACCTATCATTGCTGAAGATAAACAAATTGATACTGTGGAGAAAGACAAATTGCTTAGCAACTTGAAAGCTTTGAGAATCATAAGGTTTGCTCTTACTCCTGATACTTTTGTATGGTTGGCTCTCTTAAATCTGCAAATAAGATATGGACTAGATTAAAAGAATTATATTCTGGAGATGCTGATCTCATTCATTCTCTGCAAACATCACTTCTATCTGAATATGGATCTTTTGAGCAAAAGTCTGACGAAATAATTGTACAAACTGTTAATCGATTTAATCATCCTTTAAGTCGTATGCTAAAACATGATTTGAAGAAAGAATCCATTGAACAAAAGGTCACATTCATGAATAGTCTGAAATCAGAACAGAAGACGATTGTTTCTACTGTCAAAACATATGAACAATTCAAGAATTACTCTCTTGCACAAACTGTTGGTATATTGAAGTCTCACGAAGATGAAGTACTGAAAGAATCAAAGTTGGTTACAAGTGTTGGTTCTTTGGCCTTGGTAACAAAAAGTGACAGTTCAAAGCAAAATATGACAAAAAACTGTTGCGGAAGATTTTGAATATGATATTTCAGATGAAGAACTCACAAAAGAAGAAAAAGTTCTAATGGTGAAAATTCCAAAGAAATTCTTTAAAAATAATTTTTCACATTTCAAAAATAACGGAAATGAATCTGTTGGAAACAATCACAAGCAAGGAAGGTAAAATTCATAAAGATCCATAAGTGAAAGTTTCAAAAACTTTCAAAGAAATGATGAAAACAACGAGAATAAGCTTCTTGGTGATTCAGGCTTTGATCATATATATTGTCATGGAAAGAATCATTTCGCAAAAGAATGCATGTTGTGAAAGTTGGATGAGAAGAAAGAAAAAGAATAAGGATGAAGCTTATTATGTAAAGAAGATTGAAGAACTTCGCAAGAATTCTAGCAAACCAGCTTTGGTGGTGATAGAGGACAATAGTGATGATGGGAACGTGGAAGTTTGGTCAACTTATTTGGAGGACGAAGAAGTACGCAGGCCAACGCATGGAGATTGCTTGATGGTGAAGGATGGAAAGAAGAGAGGAGACAAATGTTTCATGGTCAAAAGCGCAAGTTCAGAAAGTCAGAGCTACTTCACAGATGAAGGAAATGTTTCAGATACATGTTTTTCTGCGAAGACAGTGAAGGAGCATGTCACAGAATGCGAAAAGGTAATTGATGAGGTACATTCTATTCTTAAATATCTTGACATGCCTACTTCTTGTTTTGATTTTGAATTAACTGATTTACGTGAAACTGTTTTTGATCTTAGTGATAGTTTAAAGAGAACTTGCATAAGAAATTCTAATCTTGAGGATTCTCTTAGCAGGATTACATCTAAGAATGAAGACAGACGAATGAAAATAGAAGCCTTGGAATTAGTTCTTGTTAGGTCTAAAGATGATGTAATAAATCTTAAAAGGGACAATAGAATTGTATTGAAACAGAGAAATATTTTTTGACTTATTGTGAAACGTCTTTACAATAACATCACACAGTTGCATCTTGACTGTGAAATAGGAAAAAGTTTGCACAAAATAATTTTACCTTTCTTATAATTAAAAGAAGATTAAATTGATGCTGAATATTATAGGTACAAATCAATGGTATCATCAAATGAATCTGTGAGTGATCCGTACAAGGTTGGACTTGAGAAAATTGAAGAATACATTAAGTCCAAAGAAAACAAAGAGATGTTAAATGATGCTTTAACAGAAAAGGAAAAACAATAAATCAAACTTTATTCAATGGAGAAATATAACTTGTTATGCAAGAAATTGAATTCAGAAGAAAATCTCAAATCTGAGAATATGTCTAAATTTGATGAAAGCGAAATGAGTGAAATATATGTTGAAGATGAAGTTGATTGTTCATCTTTTGTTAATATACTGAGCAAGCAAAAAGAAATTTGGTTTTTCAAGATTCAACTGAATTTGAACAATTTACTCAAAATGATGGCATGAAAAATTCAGAAATTCGAGCAACAGTTTTTCCAAGAGTTTCGAAAACTCCAAATCAAGTTTTTTGTGAAAAAGCGACTGGACAAAAATCAAACATCATAATTAACGTCAATGGTCAACCTTGACAATGCAAAAGGTTGTGAAGAGTTCTTTTGGTCCAAACCAACTAACAATGGTTTTGAAACGAAAGGCTTGTCTAAATTGACTTCGTGGAAAGTCAAAGGGAAATATGTTTCAAATGAAGTGAACATTGTGAAATCTTCACAACATGAAGCTGGACCAAGTGGAACAAAAGATGTTTCAACTGAAATTCAAAAGGAGAACGGAATCAAAAGCAATTCCAAAAATGTGAAATATCAAAAATCTGTTGAGGAATTGAAAGCAAAAAGAATAGCAATGAATGCAAGATATAAAAAGAATTTGTACAATAGAAAACAATTGTGGAAGAAAAGGTAATTGGATAATAATGATTTTTCATCTGAAATCAAAAATCAAAAAGTTTGTTGGTACAAAATGATCTTCTAATCAAAATGTTAATTCATCCAACTTTGCAAAAAGTAAATCCACGTCATCAACAAAAACAAAAATTATTTAAAAGAAAATTTTGAATAAAAATGATGCTATTGTTGAAGCATATAATGCGAAATTGAAAGAAGAAGAAGAAGAAGAAGAAGAAGAAGAAGAAGAAGACGAAATTTTTGAGAAAAATATGGCAAAACAAAGAAATAATTTATCAATCAAAAAACTTTTTTTATTGAAATAAATCTTTATGATAAGAAAACTCGTGTTTTTAAAATAGAAAAAGGGGTAAATAATACTTTGATCAGAAAATTATTTTGGATCGATAAAACAAAGATTTTGCCTGCTTTCTCTTTTAAATAAAATTTATCATCATGGCCCAAGATGACTTGGGTCCCTAAATCGGTTTAATTTTGTAGGTGATTCTTGACAAGCAGTTCGATTCCGAATGCTACATTCATAGTGGCTATTCGCGTCATATGACTGGAAGGAAATCACAACTGAGAGAATATCGTACTTTGAAGGATGGAGGAAGAGTGAAGTATAGGAATAATGCAACTGGAGAAATCAAAAGATATGGAATGATAACAAATGGTGAATTCACAATTTGTAAGTTAGCTTATGTAGAAGGATTACAGCACAATTTAATTAGTGTTTCTCAACTTGTTGTTGGTACAGGTCTTAAAGTGTCTTTTGACGTAGAAGGTTTGGATATAGTACATAAAGAATCAAAGAAAAGAATTTTGAAGTCAAAACGAAAAGGCGAAATGTTTCCACTCAACTTTAATCCTATTCAAGGAAAACCTTCTGTAAGTCTGCTTGAGAAAGCATCATCAGACGATAGTTGGTTGTGGCATAAGAGACTTTCGCATCTTAACTTCAAAGACATTAATAAACTTGTTCTTGGAGATTTGTTCAAAGGTTTACCTTTACTCAAATATGATAAAGAACATTTGTGTGCTGATTATGAACTCAGAAATCAAAGCAGAAAAAGTCATTCTTCAATCATGAATACCAAGATAATCGAGCCACTAGAATTAATACATATAGATCTTTGTGGGCCATCTTTGATTGAAAGTATTGGTGGTAACAAATACATTTTAGTTATTGTCGATGATTTTTCTCATTTCACTTGGGTATTCCTTCTTAAACAAAAATCTGAAACCATGAAGAAGATGATTGACTTTATCAAGCAAATTGAGCTTCAATTGCAAAAGCTTGTTTGGAAGATACAAAGTGACAATGGAATAGAGTTCAAGAATCATATTTTTGATGAATTCTTAACCAATAAAGGAATCATTCATAACTTTTCATCTCCACATACTCCACAACATAATGGTGTAGTTGAAAGACGAAATCGTTCCATGCGTGAAGCTGCTCTACTTCATTATCATATTCCAGAGATGCGAGATGTTGTTATTGTTGATATTCCCAAGATGCAGACTGCAATGTTTGTTATTTCTAATCCAAAGAACATCTTGATCGTGGGTTCACTTTCTCAAGCCATGTTATCTAGGGTTCCTGTTGATCGTCCTATAATTGTTGAATACTTGAAGACTGCAGTTTCTACTGGAGATGTTGGATCTGAATCAATTCATGAAGAAGAACCTCCAATGAAGAAAGCAAAAGATTTTAAGCGAATAGGGAAAACAATTGTTTCTAACAAATCTAAAAAACAAAATAATTCAAGGGTTTCTCAAGTAGTTTTTGAAGACGAATCGAGTGAGCATACTACAAGCCTTTATCATAATGTAAAGGAGTCTGCTTTTAATCATGAAGAAGATTCTACGAACATTAGGCTGAAATCCACAATTATTTTGGTGCCAATTCAAACTCCTCATGTCTCTTCGTATATGGAGTCTGAAGCAGAAATTTTTAAACAAGTTGTTCATTTTCTCAAACACCTCCTACTCCACCAATTGTTTCTACAACTTCTCAATCGACACCAATTCCAACAAGTCCATTTTTTTTGTTCCTATTTCTCAGTTTTCAACGAAACCGTTTGAGATTTCTATTTTTACTGAGGCAACTTCTGTATCTCAAACCACAACTTATACAGAACTTCCACCAGATACTTCTACTTTTAAATCCCATCGGGAGGAGAATAGAACCTCAGGCATCCCTGGTAACACATCTGATGTGGGGCCAAATGCCAATATTGGTGTGAATTTGTCTGAATCACATGTGTCTGTACCAGAATTCACTTCTACTCCACCTATTACTAATGATTTTGAAGAAGAAATTCTCATGAATGATGATTGTAAATCAAATGATGAGTTTGTTGCAACTGGTTTTTCATTTCAAGTGGAAAGTGATGATGATGATGATGATGATGCTCCGATGACTAAAGGTGATTTTTGCAAGTTGAACAAGAAGTTAGATGAACTTCTTCCTCAGTCTTCTACTTCCATGAATACGAAGTATGAAGAGTTGTTCTCTTCACATCAAGAAACAATTAAGAAGCTGGTTCAAGATAATGCTAATAAAATTTCTCAATACAAGAAGTTTGTTGATGAATCTACTCAACTTGTCAAGGAAGCCAGTATACAAGTCTCTACGATTCTCATAGAACTTAATTTTATTGTAACAAAGCAAGAGACTTCTATGAATTCATTCTACACATATTTTGATACAAATGTTGTTGATATGAACAAGGTGATTCTTGGTTTTCGGACATCGTTACAGAATGAAAAAGAGTCTTTGTCTGAACTTCGCTTTGGGTTACAAAAAGACAATGATGATCATCACACATCCATATCCAACTCCATTCTTACTCTGCGGACAAGTTAGGCTCATGAAATAAAATAATCGATGCTTTGGCTGATTCAACCATGAAGATTAAAGTTCTTATGGAAAAATTGAAATCTGCTGCTTTTGATCTTGGCAAAGCAAATGAAGAACTTCTATTGGTAAAAGGGCAAAATTTTCAGATAAATCAACACTTGGTTAATATTGTTGAAACCAAATATGCTCCTTATACAGATTACATTTTGCAGCTTATGGATGCAAAGCTAAAGCCTATTCTCTCAAAGTTGAATGATGTTACGAGTAGTAAGGCTAGTTCACAACAAGGGGGAGATGAGGGGGAGTTTCCATAAGTTAACATCAACAATCGTTACCAAACGGGTCCAATGGAAAAGAACAATGAGAAAATCCATTTGTAGAATCAACCTTTGGAAGAAAATTTGAAAAATTTAAAGGAAACGACAAGTGGCCAAAAAGGGTAATGATGCTTATGGTTCAGATAAAGGGAATGTGAAAATTGTTTCTGAAAAGATAGATGACTTGAATCGCCGTTGACTAAGGAAAAACAAGCTAAACAAGCTAAGCGTGACGCTTTTCCGGATGAGCTTAATGCTTTAAATGCAAAGCTTAATGTAACGCCCACAGATTCGGGCTAGTCAATTTAGAGACATTAAGCGTCAAAAATGACTTTTGATGGAAGGTTATTTAGAATGAATACTTTTAACCAAGTTATAGTATATGTCACAAGGGTTCCTTACATATAAAGAAAGCTGAAATCCGAGTTATAACGAAGAATTTATTGACTCAACGAAGTTTTACGGAAAAACCGGCATGACACCGGGAATCGTAAAAAGTGAGTTTGTGATAAAATACTGTTTAGCCTTAGCAATCAAAACGAAACTCGTAGCATACGTTAAACCGAGAGTGTGCATAAAAAGAACATCCAAATATGAGGAAGTTATGATTTTTCTAAGATTTAGCATAGTAGTGCACAGCCCGGAAATCGAATTTTACATCGATCGATTTTTACCCGACATAACCTAAATAATAATTGAAGATCTCATCAATAGGAGTTGAACGATAAAAAGACAGTCGAAAACGGAGTCCGTATGTAGAAGTTATGAATTTTACACGGTCGTTAAACATTATAATCTTCTCATACTATTAAATTTAAAATAAGTCAAGAATTAGCCGATGTAGTCAAAAAGAGAGTTGTAGATCTTGTCAATACCTACGCGTGGATATAAAGAACGTCGAAAACGGAGCTCGTATGTGAAAGTTATGGAATTTAGAAGTCGGAAGGGTGTTATTGCGAAGGGGGTGATGTGACACGATCTGAGCCCTTGCTTTCTCCCCACGCCTTGCCACCAGATGGTGACATGTGGCACACCAACTCGACGAGTTGGAGGTGTTGGAACCTGAAAGTGAACCTCTAGCAATCCTAAGTACATATTCCGAAGTTTGTTGGTTCCGAAAGGCAATGTAATCTGGAACGTGTCCGAAGCTGGAGAAAAGAAGAGGAGAAGTAATTTGAAGAGGAACACATTCCGGAGCTAATCCTGTAGTCTGGAATGTATGCTGATCCGGATCAAACTTTCATCTCCGGAATAATACCTGTCTGGAATGAAGTCCTTCTATCTTTAGTGCATTTATTACTTTTGTGTTGTATTTGATGTAACGTTTCATAGGGACTTAGTCTAAAGTTGCCTTAGGACAATCAGAATGTCAGACTTATGTCTTTTGTCCGGTCTTATGTAAACATCTGGGTTAATTCGTTGTAACATTCACTCCTTTAAATAGGAGCTTTCAATACAAGTCAAAAACGGATCTTTCACTTACTTTTGGCATTTACTCTTATCACATTAAAACATTCTTCTTGTTCTTCATTTATTAACTTTACCTTTATCATTATCTACTTGTTCTCAATTAATGTCTTGATCATTTGTTGAACTGATCATGTAAGACTTGACTGGTCTTTCCAGTCTTGACTTGAACATCCATTATCAAGCAAACATTGATCTCAAGCATTCACTCAAGGTTTGAGTTTTCAAACCTTGTACCTGCGCATAGATCTTGTTCTCACAATTGGTATCAGAGCTCGAGTGGTTGTCCTTTGAATCCATAAGATCAGATTATAGTTGGTTTGAATTTACCTTGGTATTTCAACCATTTATGTGTTAAGCATAAAAGTTCTTCTATATACCACATAAGCTTGAAGATATCTTGACTTCAATGGCTGCTTCAAATCCTCAGCAAATGATTTCAATGCAAATCGCAAATAGCGTGGGTGGCCCTACACGTGCCCCATTGCTAGTTGTGGAAGAATATGATCATTGGAAAGTTAGAATGGAAAGGTTTTTACTAGCCAAAGAGAAAGGTGAATAAATCTGGAGATCCGTCAAAGAAGGCCCTCATGTTCCCATAAGTACAGTTGTAAGAGATGCAGCTGCTCAGCTCATGCGAGAGGATGAAGCTCGTCCAGCCCTCTAACCGCAGATGATATTGAAAAGCTGCATGCTGATCAAGTTGCCTTCTCAGAAATGGTGTTTGGTGTTCCTCCATCACTCTTTGAGCACATCAAGCTATGCAAATCAGCCAAAGAAATTTGGGACACTCTTCAGGATCTGATTGAAGGTTCTGAAAATATGAAGGACAAGCGCCTCACCTCGGTTTTCAATGACTTTGACACCTTCACCACTACTCTAGGTGAATCTGTAGCCTCAACCTCCAACCGATATCGAATCGTTGTTAATAACATGACAGCTCATGGGATTGTTCGAACTCCTCTCGAGTACAATCTCAAGTTCATTAACAGCCTTGGTAAAGGATGGGGAAATGTAAAATCCCTGTCTTCAAAGCAATGGTTCTTTAAAAAAATTAAAACTCTATCAACTTTTTGATGAGCTTCAAGGACATGAATCAAACGTTGCTCAAACCATAAGGGAACTTTCCGGAGGACCACTTGCTCTCGTCAGTTCTTTTGAATCAACCATTCCGAACTCACCTACTCCGGAACCTTACAAACCCACTGTTCCATTAACTCAGTCATCCTTAACCACCTTACCCACACACATCTATCCTGATGATGATTCCGAAACCTTGGATTCCGAACTCCGTTTCCAACAAGAGTTTGCCTTACTCTCAATGAAATACAAACGTCCTTTCAATCCCTCTTACAAACCATACCAAAACAGATTCAGTGCTCCTCACCAAACCCATCCTCAACCATATTCCGCTCCGGAACCAAAACAAACCTCCGAAAATCCTCCTGCATACAAGCCCTAACCTCACTAAACCAAACTCCGCTACGGAATCTTCTCAAAATTCCAAATCAGACAAACCAAAGTGTTGGGTTATGAGCATTCTAACACTCCTAAGTGTACATGCAACCCTAAATACCTTGGATCTATGTTTTCTCTATTATACATACAATTATGAACATCCAAGGTATTATCCTAATCTAGCATACAAAATAATAAATATAACAAGATAGAATACATACCTCTTTGATGTAGAATGTCTTCATGAAGCTTGAGTGCCTAGTGCCCCAAGTGTGACACCTCAAATGGTTCACACAACACCAAATACACTTGGAATAACTTGAGAGAAACTTGAACACTCCTTGAAATCGTCTAGCCCTCACACTCACACATTAGTGCACGATTTCTTGAGCCATGGGATTCTTTTATATGGTGGCTATTAGGGTTACACCATGTAACTCATAACTTTACCCATTCCTTATGCTCCATGGATTTTAACCTCCATGGAGTATCCATGGGTCACCCCATGGACTTAGTCCAACATAAGGAATCTTGGATCACAAGCCCACATATATAAGAATGAATGATTTACACAATCAACCCATATATTTAATTAGTCTCCTTTTGATCACTTAATTAATTCCAAATTAATTCTTGATCAATACTAATTAAATAACCTTATTAATATATTAGAACTTATAATATATTAACCAACCTTAAGTGTTATTTCTCTCATTATAGTCTATCCAAATGCATGATGCCATGCAACCCAAATGGACCATGCCGGGTCGGGTCAAGTCTTACCAATTATAGTTATGGACTTAGACATTAATCCAACAGTCTCCCACTTGGATAAGTCTAAAACTATTATTGCGTATGACTTCAGGAACCGATCAGCAATCGTAGCTCTCAAAAGCTTCTGTCGAACTCTGACCTTGTCGATGAACTCTGACCTTTGTCAATGACTTGTCCATTAGATAAGGGATCATATATTCCTCCATTCTAGATATCATATGGACTGAGACATGGATTATCAATCATTCTCTCTGTCCATTTGTTGTTTCCCGATTTCTGATTCATGATGACTGACTGATTGAACAAATCAAATCAGTCCTGGCTTGGCCAAGCACTCACATGTATCATCTTTAAATCATCGAGGGGCCCACAGATATCGCTTTTATCCCGAAGGTAAAAGGAATGGATAAACTTCGACTCATATGGCTTGTTCTACTACTTGTTGAATCATACACAAAGGCACGTTTTATAACATCGAGTTACCAATGCGTTTTCGTGCAATCAATGTATAACCAACTCATAGTAACAACTCATATCTCTAGGTTTGAAGAATATAAGATATTATCGTCTCATGATCACTCGTGATAAAATCCATGAAGTGATTCAAATGAGCGCGGGTTGAATCCAATACTCAGAACTTATGAGCACTCATGAGTGTTGTAGCACCACTTTGTCCACCAACTTGGACCTCTACAAACCAACCCATGACAGTCTTGATTCATATCTACTTCCAACATATGACCGACTGTGGATGGTTTGAATAACTTAATCATTCAGGAAGAGCGACTTAGTTATTCTGGAAGTCAAAACATGCAAAGTGAAACACAAGAATAAATGAATCAAATATGGTATCAAACCCTATGAATATAAATAAACACTTTTATTTATCACCATACTGATTACTCATTATTCATTGTTTCGGTTTTATCAACTTTATACTTGAATTTAAAACAATAGTTGTCCCATGCTCCAAGCATGTACACTATGTTTTCTAAACACTAGTCATGCCATACACCAAGTATGCATACTATGTTTGTCTATGATCTTTACTTTGTAAAATAGATCAATTGAACATCACTCCAATGATCCTCTTTTCACAGTCCCAAATCCTTACTGCAAATGCAAGAATTCCAAATTCATGCCATTTACTGAAATCTGTTAGATTCTAAACTTATATGCATTGATCCTCTTAATGATTATGCACAAAGTCAGAAAGACTTGACAACAATCATTACAGAGCATTCCAAAGGAGATCAGCTCCTTGGAAACATCCTTCTTTCATTAAGTTTCCTAATCTTACACAGATTGAATAATTTCTAACTTTGAAACATTTCCATATTCCATTTTGACTATCACTTCTGAACAAGAGTTGCCTCCTTACAGATTATGTCAATATGGTCCTTCCAGAATTAACATATACTTCCAACTGTCCTTGAGCAACCAATCTTTGGTAAACCTTAGATTGTCCTCGACAATTGCTTAATCATTTTAGTCATATCC